CGCATAGATCCACATTGCTTCATTCTGTTTCCTTCTTCTTCTTCTTCTTCTTCTTCTTCTTCTTCTTCTAATCCATATATTGATATCATTCCACAGTTCTACCAAACTAATGGCATTCTCATACTTTGAGCATCACCCATCCCTTATCGATTGTGCCTATCTTCCATGCATGCCCACTGAGAACTCCTTCCTCCCACAGCAAGTGGGAGACGTGACCAATGCTTCCTCTTGCTTCCTCCACTGCTACTCATCTGACGACAACCCACAGCTCCCAGGAGCTGACGCTAGAAACTTGGATAGCAGCGACTCTGTTGACATTGCTGTCTTACCGCCCCCTTCTGTTGTCGACCAAATTAGCCACACGCCAATGGTGGCCGAACCCAATGATGAGAAAGCCCCAAAACAACAAGTCTCTGGTGAAAAGAAGAGAAAGATCGCTAAAGATCAGACTAGCTTCATCGCTGGTCGACCCAAGGTAGTACCATCATCAAATCATCCGTTATCAGCTTCCATTAATGGGCTTTTGCTCCCACAAATTGTGTCCTGAGCTGGGTTTTCTTTGTATTTTGACGTACAAAGGAAGGCAACATCAGCAAACACAGGCGTCCTCACGGTGGACTGAGGGAATCAAACGACAAGAATCTTAAAGCCGACGACGACATGAAGACTCCAAAGCCCCGTGAGGAGATTCCTGCAGGGTGTATTCATGTCAGAGCAAGGAGAGGTGAAGCGACAGATAGCCACAGTCTTGCGGAAAGAGTACGCACGCAACTCCAAAAGCATCCTTTCTTCCTCTTGCAATCGTCATGATCTCTTCACCTGTGGCGTGTGGTTTTCAGGTCAGAAGGGAGAAGATCAGTGAGAGGATGAAGGTGCTGCAGAGCCTCGTTCCTGGCTGTGAGAAGGTGTGAATTATGAAGCTCCATCTCTCTTTTCTCCCATTTCATGGAACCACACTGTTCTCTGATCTGCTGATGGTTCGACCGAGTAGGTTACCGGAAAGGCACTGATGCTGGATGAGATAATTAACTATGTTCAATCCTTGCAAAACCAAGTTGAGGTAAGCAAAAGGCAATGAGTTGATATCTTCTTTGTACAACGCGCTCTGACCCAGTCTGATCACCTGTCTCCAGTTTCTCTCCATGAAGCTTGCTTCTCTCAGCCCCATGCTATATTTTGATGCTAACTCCGATGATTACATGAACGAAGCAGAGGTAGGCTAAGGATCAACTCTATCTATACACTCATTATCTATACACTCTATCTATACACTCGAATTTTCAGAGAGTAATGAGAAGCACCCCACTGCAAGCGTCATATGTTGGCCAAACCAATCACCTTCGATCCGTAGCTTTGGAGGATGGTACGAGTAATTACCATATGATGGGGCACTCTGCTCATCTCTTCCTGCAGGGCCAAGGGACCACTTCCTTTCCTGAGGTTTGATCTTTCCATCACAAAGCTCATTCATGGTTTCCAACAACAGATGAAAACAGAACTCTTGTCCCCGTTTACTAACTCAAGAACATCCTTTTCAGAATGGTAGCAGTTTTATGGGCGAGCAAAGGCGAGGGTTCCTCAGCCAAGCAGAGGATGTCAACACTTGTTCCTCCTTCCAGTAGAGGAAGAAGAAACCCGTGATACTATTTGTAAAACCAGTACACCTCTGTCATAATTCTGATATGTTATGTCGATCGGGTTGTAGTCCACCTCTAAGCGCGTTCATGTATTACCTCCGCATGTACATAGATGAGGCTGAAATGTTATGTCCATAGCGTTCTTGTCTTCTCACTTCTGTCGCGCATTACCAGTGTGTGCACAGATGATAGATAGAGACTGCATGCTGTGGCCAATGGCTGCTTATTCGTTGCTGCATCGGAAGAAAGGGTTAAGGTAGGGAGACAAAGAAGGAGCGACAAAAATAAAGACCATATCTTCAATGAATCCTTACTGCCGGCCTTTCATGTTGGTGGCAAAATAGTAGGAACTGTGTTTTGCAGCAGTCTGCAATTTTACAGTGTCGCGCAGGGCGAGAGACAGAGAGAGAGAGAGAGAGAGATGACTAGCTGCATGAATCTTTCACCTTTGTAAATATGCTCCTTTTACTCGAATTAGTAGCTTTTGCGGCAATCTTGGTTGGACCTGTCAATATCCATGTGAATTCTCTCACCAAACAACTAAAAGCATCTTCAGGTGAAATCTTTGGAAACAGGAAAGATAGCATCATAAACACTACTCAAGACTGACTTGAGATTTATACGCCACAAATTAGTGCTTTATATCCCGACAGAATCTGTGTTGTAATTTCCTGCGACTGATTTGAGGGTACGACATGTATTTTTTGAAGGAAAAGAAGAAATCTTTCTACTGTTCTAAGGTCTGAGCCAACTGCACGCTCTACAAAGATGGAGCAGTTTGAGATCAATGGAACTATGCGGTGGCCTCTCTTACGCTGCACATGACCTGCTTTCGTGGTCGGAGCCATCAATGGAGGGACTTTTCGTCCTTTGTGTCATGCTGCAGAGTGAAGCCTGCGAAGGAGGCTATACTAGAGAAAAATCCAAATCATCGCCGAAGAAATTTTCTTTCCCATCTCCAGCTGAAAGACTACTTTAATGGAACGCTGCAAGGATCCTTTGACCAATCAAACAGTAGTACAGGGCTTACTACTTGGCCCGAAGAACCAACCTCAATGACCATCGAACTTTGTCGCGGCATGGTTATCTCCTGCTGCTGGAGCACTTTGTATGATTCATCCATCAAAATCAAAGATCTCAGAATAGGAAGTGCCTCTTTCTTTCGAATCCATCAACTTATCCGCATTGCCTGCACTAATAACTCCGTGAGTAATAATTCTCCCATCTCTCTGGGGTGTAGAACACTTGACGAATTCAATGGTTCTGCTGTTCCTGGAGACCGACGGATAAGCCAGTGGGAGTTGGTCATCTCCGCGGCTTGGGCCCGGCCGACACGGGGCGGTGCCTGACCGGGGTTCGGCAGCGCTCGATGGGTCCGGAAAACCAAACGGCCGAGGTGGAGCAAAGCAGCATGGTGGGGAGTGTGGCGCTGTCTGGAGGAGGAAGATGACAATTGCATTAAATGTTCGATGATGTCTTCGCGCGGGCATGTGTGGTCCAGTGAACCGCATGGGCCACCCATCCCCCACATGTCCATGTTCTTGATTTGTCCTTCCATCTGTGCGCTGTGTGTGCTTGTGAGTCCAATATTTGCCTGCGATGCAGAGTTGTGACTTCTGCCATCGTATGAAATGACGGTGAATCCATAGGTTGACGATGTACAATCACAGTGACGCTAAATAATGCATATAGAAGAAGACGTGTTCTAACCATGGAATAATGCACTCGTGCATGTCGTCTGCTGGCCGAGAGTCTGGCAATTGCCCATCCCCACTGCTGAAAGCTTCTGTGACCAAAAGAGACAGGCCTTAAATGCCTTCACACTCCGGAACAGTACCAGGAGCCGAAGACCACGCAGCAGAGAGGTTAAGACGTCAAATCGTACGTCCATCTGAGGATGGGTTTGGAGTGATGAGGAGTCGGGACTGCTCATGAGACATTGAACGATTCCACTATTTAGATTCGAGCGTTGAATGGTCGGCAAAGTGCATTATAGATGAACAATCCGCAGTTTGTCTGTCCCAAACTGATTGAATTCTGCAGGTCACTTCAAGTCTTCAACTGCCGACCTATAGTTGGATGTGACGAAGGGAAGGCTGTCGCTGTACATGGTCTCTCTGCGGAACATAGCTGCACCGGCCACCTGCACAGCAGCGCTGCCAGTGGTCCAAACTCTGATCGCTGCTGTTGCTGTCGACAAGGAAGGAAGGAACGACCGAATCCGTGAACAGGATATCAGAAATGTGCGTTCATGGAGGAGCAAGTAAGCCGGAGCACCATCCTTGTTCTTATACGCATTGAGACAAGCAGTTCATGTGCGTCGATGGTAACATCTTGAGACTGCTCGAGTGAGAAGTAGATCGTACATGAGACGGCACTCCAAATAGGAGAAGACATGAGAAGCTAAAAGCCCCTGACGACTGCATGGCCCGAAAGGGTTTGATCCGAACTGGAACGGGACCTGTAAACCGATGGGCCTGTGGATTGGGCTTGCGGGTTATGCCACCGGACTTGGAGCGGTCCACCGTGCGTCGTCTCGTGGCGATGTCACCGCCTCAAGACCACGGCCGATCCGTCACGGTACCTCGGTAACCCATGTACGTGGCTGTATCATTCACAGCCACGATAAAATCACATCGATCAGCTGCCAGTGATCGTTAACGCATTGCAAACTCGTCACGTTAGCTGTAAGTTTATATGGAATATGCTAGGAAGAAATATGTGGGGATCGAGAAGAAATGATTAATTAAATTTTTATTGATAATAAGTATGAATTTATATATACAAAAAATAATAATATTATTATTATTAAATATAAAGTATCCTTTAAATTATTTTATAGCGTAGAAAATTATGTTGAGATCATGATTAATCATGATAATTTATTATTATAATTTTTATGATTTAAAATCATGATGATATAGAATTAAAATACTAATAGAATCATTATAATCTTATTATAATTTATTTTTAATAATATATTTTCTAATATGCTCTCGTAAGACAGTGCTTCCATCGGAGATATCGATCTTAGATCAAAGTAGAAGGAATTGTTGGCGAGACGAAGATTTGGTAAGAGCATCAGAAGATAAGGCATGAGAGATATGTAGCTCATCATTTTAAACTTTATCACGAACAAAATGAAATTTGATAGTTACGTGCTTTATTTGAGAGTGAAATACAGGATTATTGTCCTGATATTATCATAATATATAGATGGAGGATCAGATATTCTGACAAATAGTTCATATAGTAATAATTGAATCCAACAACATCTAGTAGTTGTAGAAACATTCACTCGATATTCAGTCTCCTTAAAAAATCTTACAACAAATCATTATTTCTTGGAACTCCAAAAGATTGCATTGTGATCCAGAAATATAATATAAGTATTAGTAGATATCCCGTCATCCTTATTACATGCCTAATCGATATTTAAAAATACATGAAGCAATAGAGAAGTATACTTTCGGAGAAATAAGTCATGATCTGCCCTTTAAATACTAAAGAAGATATTTAACAATTGTTCAATGATTGAAAATAGACTTGTACATAAATTGAGATAATTTATTCATAGCATATGCAATGTTCAAACGAGTAAATGCCAAAACTATAGACCGTCAACAATTAGACTATAATCAGTAGCTTCGTTGAGATTAGCATTATCAAATAGGATAAGAGAAACACTTGTAGAGGTTGGCTTAGCAAAAAGTATTTGCGTTAAGCATTTTGGTGCTATCAAGAAGGTCATAAATATACTTATGTTGAGAATGAAATAGATCATTTGTCGTGTGGATTACTTGAACGCCAACAAAAATAATTGAGTGACCTAAAATCTTTGATAGAAAATTTATTTTCAAGCTATTGAATAAATTAATTATTTATTATTGGTTTATTATAGTAATAATTAAGTCATCCACATAAACTAGAAAAAAAATGATTATGTCTAATTGAGAATAAATGAATAACGAATTATCAAATTAAGAATTATGAAATCTAACTTAGATTAGATGTATTCGAAGTTGATGATACCAAGATTACTTGAGACCATAAAGAGCCTCACATAACTTACAAATATATTAAGGAAGATTTTATAATATATTACCACATAAATATATTATAAAAAATATGACTATAAAAAAATGTATTATTCACTTTTAACTTTCGAAGTATCTCCTTGTTAGACAAAGCAAGACATAAAATAATATGAATTATTGTTGGTATCATAACTAGACTAAATATATCATGGTACTTAAAGTTTAGACGTTGATGGAATCCCTTTATAATAATTTACTTTATACTTATTAATGGATCCATCATGATTTTGTTTGATGCGAAAAACCCATTTGCACCCTATAAGGTTTTAACGTGGATGTGATGAGACTTAATCCCATGTACCATTCCATAATAAATTATTATATTCTTCATATATTGTTGCTCATTATTCAAAAATTTTTAAAGCTTGGTTAATAGTAGAAGGCTCAAAAATAAAATTTTAAGATTATTTTATAAAAATAATAAACTATTTATTTAGTTTAAATGCTAGTCATAGGTGCTCTACAAACCAATCACATGAGTGATGACACATATGACACGTTATGTAATTTTTTTACTTATTATTATTGGTATTTTCTCATTTTATGTCACATGTTGTATATTTTATGATGTCTATAGATTTATACAATAGGAATCAGATCGTGAGATCACGATAATAAGACTAATTCACTTTTAAACATAAATTCTAAATAATTCTAATTGTATGTTACTTGAGATGGACATTGAAATAACCGAATATATTTGTATGTTGTATACCCTTGTGGGCATAGGTTCCAAATAGGCTATCTACGATAGTGGGTTTCAAAACATTAATGCAGCATAATAGTTCATATATTACTAGCGATTGGTTATTTCCATACTTCTCATAATTCACTGAGCATCTTGAAACTCTTCTATTTTATGGTTATTAAAATTTTCTACTGTGCTCTGATTGTTAGGATCAAGGGGGGGGTGAATTAGTGCAGCGGAAATTTTTCAGCGATTAAAACGAAAGCTGCGTTCGTTCGATAAAAATGATTTCGATGTGAAAGCCGATTCTAAGATTACTTTAACTTGAGATTAAGCGAGATGACGTTAAAGTAGATCTACGAAGGCAGTTTGCAGTTTATGATGGAAAGCAGAATACAAGCGCAAACTGAAATGCGACGTTCGTATGATAAAAGCCGATTTACGTCTAAACGCAGATTTAGAAAGTTCTGAACTTAGAAACTTATTCGTAAGATCGCAGAAGGCAGTAAACAGTTATGATTGAAATCAAAACGTAAACGTAAACTGAAATATGATGATCGTACTAGAAAAGCCGATTTACGTCTAAACGCAGATTCGGAAAGTTCTGAACTTAGAAACTCGTTCGTAAAATCGCAGAAGGCAGTAAGCTATTGAGAAGTTTACAGTGAAGGTAAAATGCTCAAAGGAAATGCAAACCGAGATTTAGAGTGGTTCGGTTAATCTTGACCTACTCCACTTTTGGCTTCCTCCACCGACGAGGTCACCGACGTCAACTAGAGGCCTTCCTTCAATAGGCGAAGGCCAACCACCCTTTTACAGATTCACTCCTTTTGACGGGCTTAGGAGACAACCCTTACAGAAGTTTTCTCTCCTCTCTTTACAACTCAAACTTTGAAGAATAGAAGGAGGAGAACTTTTGGTCTTTACAACAGTTTTGAGCTCTAAGAATCACAGAAAGATATCAAGATTTCGAGTGTTAGTTCTACCTTTCAGTGCTGAATGGGTGGGGTATTTATAGGCCCCAACCCAGTTCAATTTTGGAGCTCAAAACTGTCAATTCCCGGAATTCCGGGATCAGGCGGTTGCACCTCCTGACTGGGGCGGTTGCACCGCCTGGCAGAGCTCGAAACTTGAGCTCAGGCGGTGCCACCTCTTGTCAGGAGAGGTTGCACCGCCCAGTCTCGCTCGGAGACTGAGCCCAGGCGGTTGCACCTCCTGGCTGGGGCGGTTGCACCGCCCAGTCTCCCTGGGAGACTTAGCCCAGGCGGTGCTACCTCCTGGCTTGGGCGGTTGCACCTCCCACAGCAACTAGGCTCCGAATGGGTTGATCCATTCGGCCCAATTTGGATTTTTCAGGGGCCCAATTGCCCCAAGATTAAGCTAATGGGATCACCTCCCATTTTCAACTTAATTATTAGTGCTAACTACGATAAATCCTAAGACAATTTCTGCAGCTTGCTCCGGTGCGTCAATCGCTTCTTCCGGCGAGTTTCCGGCGAACTTCTGTCGATCATCCGATGAACCCTCGGTGATGCTTCTGCGGACTTCCGGCAAACTCCTGGACTTGCGACGATCCACTTGGCAAGTTCCGATGAGCTTCTTTGGCAAGCTTCTGGACTTCTCGGATTTGTTCCCGCAGAACCTCCGACGACTGTCCGAACTTCCGTCGAGCTCTCGAACTCCCAACGTGATCATTGTCATGACTCCGACGCAACTCCTGCTGCATGTCTTACTTTCATCGTAGTTAATCTTGCACACTTATCTCAACACATAGATTAGACAACAAATGACAATTGACTTCATCATCAAAATCCGAGATTCAACACTGATACCACTAACTAAAATTTTATTGATAATGAGTATGAATATATATATATATATATATATATATATATATATATATATATATGTATGTATGTTAAGATCATATATATTAAGATTATGATCTTCATTATTGATAGAATTATGATAATATATTATCATAATTTTTATGATTTAGAATCATGATAACATAGTATCAAAATATTGAAAAGATCATACTAAACTTTTCTTAATTTATTTTTCTCAATAATATTTTTTTAATAGGGTTCTTTTTTTATTCTTGTAGTGTATTAGTCACAACTATCTTGACATATGAAGGCTCTTTTCATCCCCAAAAAAGAATACTTCATTCTTTTTCTTATATCTCATAAAGATATTTAACTTTTTCATTCTTCCACGATGGAGGTTATTATCTTTTAAACTACAAAAATAATAATGCATGCCAAAGAGGGTTTTCATCCCGTCCTCCTTCGATAAAAAAAAAAACTTCTTCTCTCTTAAAATGACAGTAACTATCATTAAAGAGAATAAACATGAAGAATTTTTATCTATATTTTATTATTTATCTTATACGTAAAATTCTAAACCTGATTATGAGAGCGAGACGAGGCAATAGGGCGTGATCAAATTCATCCATTCATTTGACATTCTATAGTCGGATTGATAGAGTGTCGAGATGAATCTAATTGATTCTATCCATTACCACATGGATACATGATAAATTGTAATAGTTGTCATTAGTAGATGATTTCTAGTAATAATCCTATACCCTAAAATTAAGTTTAAGATCTTTGTTTTTCATAAGTTAGCATGTGAACTATAATATTTCTAATTTTATATTTAAAATTAGTTATGAGAAAATAAAAATAAAAAGTAAGTAGAAAAAAAAGATATTGTTTGGTAAGACAAATTTAGAGCATATTTTATCTATAAATATAAACCATAATTTATTTGATTAGACTTGATATAAATGCATAGTGTTTCTTAATTATTCTTTTGCTCTTAGTACTTGATAAAGGACTAGAAGATTATGATGAAACATCAATTTAATTTTTCTTCCTTATGGATGAGTGATGGGTTTTCTTTTATAATATGACTCCATAATTCTCAGATATGCAGATTTGTTATAGACTAATCGATAATCTTCATATTAACATCTCATTTCTTTATTGTTATCTTAAAAAAATATCATTTTATCAAGAGCTCCAATCTTGTGTTCCTAGTTAAAATCAATAAACATGTGTTTTATCTTTTTATAATTGTAACACTCCTCATTTTTTTAAAATTATGTAAGGATCTATTTATAATGTAGAGACCTAAATATAAATATTAGAAATGTGATATGATTTGTAAAAGGTTCATATTAGATTTTAACAAAAAAAAAAAAAGACATGCATCATACCTATGTTTGTTCTAAGAATGACACAAACTTTTTTCATACTTGCCACTTTGAAATTCTTATATTAGTTGAATCAAATGCTTTTAAATGAGAAACTAAATGTAAACTTAATACTACAATATAAGTTTTAGAAGAGAAAGAAAAATTAAAGTAGCGGAAGAAAAAACTTTGTCATAACTAATATTATAGATTGGGGGAGAAAATTTTGATAGTCACTTTGTATAATAAAACATAAATGATATATTTTTTTTTCCGATAGTATAGTTTTCTATTTTATTTTTCATCAGCCACGCCGCCACTGGCCGTTGAGTGCGTAAGCAATAAAATCCATCTCTGATCTCAAACAGAATTCGTCTTCAAATAAAATAAAATTTAATTTTAAAAATATTTTTTCTTCGGAGAACGTGTGTTCGGTTAGCCGCCTGTCGGACCCACCGACCAGGCCAGTCTTCCTGACGAGGTAAGTGGACGGGTGACGCACTGGCGGGTGGAAAAACAATCTCGTTAATAATAGTCAAAGAGAAGGAGAGGTCCACGAGGAAACCAACGCGGCGTGGAGAGGTGTGGTGAGCCGTGACGTGTACGGTTCAGATTGAAATATGTCGGTTTTAAAATTAGATCGCCTCCGCTCGCGTCCTTTCGTCGTTTCCCTAATCTTCCCTTTCCGCCGACGGGTCGCAGCTCCCGCTTCTCTGCCTCTCCTCGCGAGCTCTATCGCCGCGGTCTTCTCGCGGATCTCACCGGAAGGGCCGAAATATCCGTGGATCGATCGCCCTCTTGATCGATTGTCCTCTCCGAGCGCTTCAGAACGAGCTCGGATCCGCCTGAAACGGCGGCCTCGCACCACGGAATCGAAACCTAGAAAACATCGGTCGAGAATTTTAACCCTAGGAGCAGTGCGATCGACGGATCCGTAGTCCAGAGGAACTCCCGTGACGCCGTGGGAGTCCAGGGCCGCCTGCCTTATGCGCGTCTCCGGTACCAATCGATTCTTCTTGAACCCAAGCGAGAAGGAAACCCTAGCGCGAATGGCGACGGATTGCCCCCGCGGAGGTCGTGCCGCGGATGGGGAGACGTCCGACGGCGACTCGTCGCAGTCGCTGGAGGAGATCTCGGCCGAGGATTTCAAGCAGGAAGCCAGGGCCGGAAGATCCAGTGTCTTCATGGGTTACCCCATGTCCAAGAACTATGGCCCCAGTCTCTATAGCTTTGCGTGGGCTCAGGCCGTGCGGAACAAGCCTCTGGGTCTGGATTTAACGCCGACGAGAGCCGGTGATCTCGCCGTGAAGAATGACTCCGGAGTTAAGCCAGAAAAGGAGGAAGCTTGTGATGTGATTATAGAGGATAGCAGTCAGGAGGATGACAGTGCAATGGAGAAGGAGGAAGGGGAATTGGAGGAAGGGGAGGTCGACTTTGGGTCAGAACCGATGATGGTTGATGAAGCGACTGATGTTTCTTCAGATAAACATGAGAACGAGCCAGAAAAGAAGGAATCAGATGGAGAAGAGTCACAAGGCTTCGATGATTTTGATCGGCGTGTGAGCTTAATTCTGGAAGAGCTAGAGATGATAACCATGGAAGAGGCTGAGGCGTAAGTTCGAGAATTTGAAGAACCTTCAAGAAGAAAGAACTATAATGTGACACCAGTGAAATAAATTTTGCAGTAAAAAGCATCAGAAATTAAAAACAAAACTTAAAATTTGCATCTAAAAGATGGATGCAACATTGTGTTGCATACGTATCAGTGAATCTTTTAAGCTTTTGGGTGATGGGAAAACCCATTTTGATGTTAATTTTGTCTCATGTAGATCCTTTGAAGGTGTATGTGCACGTCTGCGTAAATCTTTTGAAGACTTGAAGCCGATGTTTACAGGGATAGAGAGTTCAGATACCGTGCTGCATGCTGTTGTTCAACAGGCTGTCATGGGGATCCAAACAACTTATTCTGTAAGAAAAACAAAAAAAACTTTGTTTTCAATTCTTGAGTAGTTGTTATAATTCTAGTTGTTGAAATATAACCTGATACTGGTATTACTGTGGCAGGCGCTTGATTCTTTTGCAATACAGAAGGAGCAGAATAAGCAATTGCTGTTGAGGTTAGATCTCTTATATGTTCTCCTGTCAATTGTGACCACTGGATGTCATTAACTAAATTTAACTCTGTCGAATCTGGTGTAGGTTGCTGATTCACATAAAGAACCAGTATTATACCCTATTAACTCCTGAACAAGTGAGAGAGGTCTGTAAATAATTCCATATATTTTAGTTAAAGTCATTGTTGATGGAGTTCAGTTAAATCTTGAGTCATTCTTCTGCTTCAACAGATCGACACCCTGGTGAACTCATTAGTGTTTGAGGAGGATCATGATAAAGAGAAAGAACAGCATGGTGATGGTTTGGTTTGTTTGGAGACCCCATGTAGGGCTTCAAAAACAGTTAATTTGCCCAATTTGGAGTTCCCCACACCCTCTAGAAATAGAGTGGAGTTTAGTCCATTGTTGGATCTTCATGCTGATTATGATGCAGACAGTCTTCCTTCACCTACTCGAGAGAACTTGCCACAATTTTCTATCCCAAAGCCCATTGGTCTTGGAATGCTGCCAGTTGTATCTTCTCAGCCAAGAACTGCCAAAAATGAAGAAGCTGAAGAGGCCACATTACATCCATATGTAACTGATGCCCTCAAGGCTGTCTCATGCTACCAACAGAGATATGGCAGTACTTCCTTTCTGTCAATTAATCGACTTCCAAGCCCAACTCCCTCAGAGGAGGGTGACAAAGATGATGATTCCCATGAAGAAGCATCCAGTTCTTCTGTTGTTAGTAATGCCGAAACTGCTTGCACGATTCAAAATCAGGCCGTAAAGTCTAGTAGCACTGCAGCCTGTTCAAATAGCTCGGCTGGAGATCAACCATATCCTGTCAAGCTGGTTGGACAGGTTGGCTCTGGATCAAAATCATCTGCAAAACCTGCATTGAAGCGCAGAGATCCAAGGCTTAAGCTCATGAATAATGAAGTCAGAGGCCCTTCAGTGGGAGATAAGGGTATCGACTCTAATGCCCTTGATAACCGGCTTGTGGGAGGATCTATGAATACTAGGAAGCACAAATCAGTTGATGAGCCTGTAACTGGGGACCATAAAATGAAAAGGCAGAAAAATGGTTTTACGGGCTCCAGAGATATGCAGATGACATCAGGGAGAGGTGGGTGGCTAGAAGACAGCAGTATCCCCCAACCAAGTGACAGGAATCAAATAAATGAAAATTTTCAGGTCGAGGTTAGAAAACCGGGAAGTGGAGAAGTTGGTTCTGGTAAAAAATCTGATTCTAATATGAATTTCAGCATGTTGAATGGACTGATACCGAATCCTTCGGGTAATCTTCCAAATACTCTTTCTTTGCCTCCGTTGCTGAAGGCTGTAAATCCAACAATATTTGTGCAGCTACTTCAAATGGAACAACACAGATTAGCAGCAGAGAATCATCAGATAGTTACTGCTTCAACAAGTGATGTGACAAATGTTTCAAAAGTTAATGGATTACCTGGAGCAGTTTCTTCAGTAAATTCTACTCCACTTAAGTCCCAAGAAGTTGGACAGAATCATCTAGGAATGTCTCAGATTCCTTCTCAGTCAGCTTCCGTGGTGAGGCTTAGGATTTAATCATCTGTTCTGTCACATGCTCCAGACTTTTGTTAATAGTTGCTATATTTGATCGACCTTTTCCCTTTTACTGTCTTTTAATCTGTTCCTACTGATAGCCACTCTGAAGTCTTAACATGCTGCATGCAGTAGTTTCCCAAGGACTCTCATTATACAACTTAATTGATCTAAGGACTGAGAATCTTGATTTCTGCCATGTGATAGAATATTTTGGATACCTTGGTAGTCTATTGAATATTGATAATGTCTAAAGCTTCATGCCTTCTTAGATTTTGCTTGCTTTGTCTTTTGCATGCAATTGTGGTTTCATCCTTTGATTTTGCTTTCTGAATAACCATCCATGATTACTTTTTTGTATATGTTTACAGAGCTCTCAAAACGATGTTGGAAGGATTCGCATGAAACCTCGTGATCCTCGCCGTGCTCTCCATAACAATATGGTTCAGATGAAAAACGTCATTGTATCTGAACAGAACAAAATAAATGAGGCTATCCCTGGTCCTCAGAGCAGCATGGGACATTCAACTGCCAGAGAACCAGGAGAGCAGGCACAGGCCAGTGTTTTGGCTACTCAATTTGTTCCCCAACCCAATATGTCTCGGCAGTTAACCAAGAATCTTGGTAATATTGTGTCTAGTTCCCAATTGGCTGCCACTTCCCAAGCAGTTCCTCAATATATTCCAAGTAAAGCTAATCAGGTGAATGTAAGGCCTGCGTCAGCAGAGTTGAATGATTCAAAGACTCTGGTTTCTGAAGCAACTGCAAAAGGTGTTTCTCAATCAGTTAACGCTTGGGGAGATGTAGATCATTTCCTTGATGGGTATAATGACGAACAAAGAGCAGCTATCCAAAAAGAGAGAGCGAGAAGGATTGCAGAACAGAATAAAATGTTTGCCGCTAGGAAGCTTTGTCTTGTTCTTGATTTGGACCACACTCTGCTTAATTCAGCTAAGGTAAAATATAAAATTTCAAATCTTGGTTTCTGCACAAACTGACTAGGTGCATATACATAGTGGCTTGCTGAAATGGACACCATCTCTTTAGTTTGTAGAAGTAGATCCAGTTCATGAAGAGATTTTGAGAAGAAAAGAAGAGCAAGACAGGGAGAAGCCACAACGACATCTTTTCTGCTTCCATCACATGGGAATGTGGACAAAATTGAGGCCAGGCATCTGGAATTTTTTGGATAAGGTTTACTTTTAATGAAAAGAAATTTGCTACTAATGTTCCCTAGATTTTAGCAGTGGTTTCAACTGTTTATATTTTGAAGTAAATTCATTGGATTCTTGTAGGCTAGCAAGCTCTACGAACTACATCTATATACCATGGGAAACAAGTTGTATGCTACTGAGATGGCAAAAGTTCTTGATCCAACTGGGACTTTGTTTTCTGGGCGTGTCATCTCAAGGGGTGATGATGCTGATACTGTTGATGGCGATGAAAGGGTTCCCAAAAGCAAGGATCTAGATGGGGTTCTGGGTATGGAATCTGCTGTGGTGATTATTGATGACTCTCTGAGGGTCTGGCCGCTTAACAAACTCAACTTGATTGTCGTCGAGAGGTATTGACGTAATTTCATATTAACTTATTAGCATGTTAAGGTTAAAAATAGAACCTGATGTTAATGTCGTAATTTCATATTTTCATTGCAGATATACTTACTTCCCCAGTAGTAGACGCCAATTTGGACTTCTTGGGCCTTCACTTCTCGAAATTGATCACGATGAGAGGCCAGAGGATGGGACTCTGGCTTCTTCATTGGCAGTAAGCACTTCCCAGCATTTGAGTGTTGAAAGATTAGTTCTCTCGGTTTCCTCATTATAATACCTTGCTTTCTTTTTTGACCAGGTCATCGAACGAATTCACCAAAATTTCTTCTCACATCACTCCCTAAAAGATGTTGATGTTAGAAATATACTTGCAGCCGAGCAACGGAAGATTCTTGCTGGCTGTCGTATAGTTTTCAGCCGGGTCTTCCCAGTTGGGGAAGCAAATCCACATCTGCACCCACTGTGGCAGACAGCTGAGCAGTTTGGTGCAATCTGCACTAACCAGATTGATGAACAGGTTACACATGTCGTTGCCAATTCTCTTGGAACCGACAAGGTATCTAATTTCTCTAACCTCTTTCCCGCGCTCAGGAACTTTGCCTGTCTAACCCAAGATATAATGACATGAGAAAGAGATTGTGTTTTAGATGTTACATCCAGTTTCTCATTGGTTTATGGATCTCAGGTGAATTGGGCTCTATCCACCGGAAGATTTGTTGTTCATCCTGGCTGGTGAGAAATGCCTCTTTCAGAAATTTCATTTTAACACATGCTTCCGGTAACCTGGCAACATTGAGCAACCAGAGTTGACTTGTGCCCTATTGCAAGCTCTCGTAGCTATTATGATCGTTTTCTTCTCAAAGTAGTTTGTGGACTAATACAAATGTCTGTTGAACAGGGTAGAAGCCTCAGCTCTTCTCTATCGGCGGGCGAACGAGCACGACTTCGCGGTTAAAACCATGACATGATCCACTCATCATACCAACTCAGAAACCCCACCCTTGACCCATGTTAACCGGCAACTTCTGAATTGAGGCAGTTAACTAATGACGAAGAAAGTTATCGCAAAGCACACATCTAATTAACCTTGGCCCCCAATGATGATGCAGGAACACCATTAATCCATCAGACGAAACTTTGGTAGGGAATGTGAGGCAGAATGAGAAAGGTGTGTACGAAGCTGGTTAGGTTGTTAATTCATGTCTGGAAGAAGGGTTAAGATGGTTCTTATAATCGGCAACTCATCACACGATAAGTGGTTAAATCCCCAGACCAGCTTTACCGTCAGTCTGTGAAGTCAAATCTCATATGGAAACCAAACATTCTTAGTTGGAAGGAGCAGTTTTGGAAGGCACGGAGACTATGTGATTGCTTAACTGGGCCCGGTGTCGTTAATTTTTGGGTAGGCTTTTAAGCACCGGAAAACCCTAAATTTACCCCTCTGAGGACCATCCGATAAGGTTACGGATCCATACCCGCATAAACAAGAAGTAAGCATATGCCTTGTTGACTGTTCCACTTGACGTCGATGTTAAAACAAATATCTAGATTTTGTTCGGAAAGCAAAGATGTTTGACCGTATGACCTTTGTTTCCCTTACAGAAATTAAATTCCAATTGGGTTTTTATGAATGTTTTACATACAGTAAATTATAGATTACGATACACCCACTTGTGAATTGATACGACCTCCACTTGTTTCTGGTTCAAACGAAACATAATATGGTTAATTGTGATAAATAAATAAAGAAAAAAAACCCCTTCACTGGTCGAATTTTAATGAATAATGGTTAATTTTCGCATTAATAGCAATATTTATAACTCAGGTCCTACATTTCCCATGTAGGCGTTAGGTAACTCTATTTATGTCGCATGGCACTGGACTGTCGATGCACGTGGCCTAAACGTGCCCTATGTGCTAAGTTGGCGTATGCTAACGCGGCGTTGGTGTCACGTTAGTATTATGGGAAGGGAAGAGTTGACCCATGTTGGTCAAAACGCTCCTTAAAGTAATTAAGGTTGATATAGTTGTAACATAATCTGGTTGAGAATTATAAGTAACTATTTAGATGAATTTTGTCATATAGATGCATGGAATCGTGACCAAAGTTATAAAGTCATTAGGTTGGCTATTCAAGGACTATAATGACATACATATATGATATGATGATCAAAATCATAAACCTTTTAGATGGAAACGTTCTTTTTCTCGAATGCTACAAACCCTCATTTCTTTTCTTCCTTATGTATAGCAAACTCTCATCTTTGATCAACTTGAGTGACTGGTTTATAAGTCAAAGGTTGATCTTTTTGTCATTCCCCTTCGAATCTCTATGAACTTAAATTATGGTTGAAAAGGTAAATATCTTATCTACTTTAGAAAGAATAACATTACTTAAAATAAGAGGGGTTTAGCTTAATTGATAAAAAGTCTTGGCCTTCGATGTGCATCGAATCCCATCTTTATATTATATATTGCCTAAATTGTATTAACTTGTCACAAAATAAAGGTGCATTCATTTTCCTCTATGCACCATAACAAAATGGTCTTGGAGTCGTTTATTGGCGATTACACAGCAAGAAACCACTCTGCTTTCAATAATCTTTCCATGTACTTTTGTGTTCTCTCGTTTCATGTATCGTTAGAGACATTGATGAAGCTAGACATTGCATCTTCCATCACATCATTCTTTAATTACTCATATAAACCTCGAACTGTGTGCAATGATTGAAGCTAATTCTGTTCCATGTGTAACCAAAAGCTTGTTTTGTGCATGAAAGCACGCTAGGTATTGGGTCGTCTCAACAGATGAAGGCACAAAAGAACGAGACATGAACAAGCTTCCTTGTCAGCGAAAGAACAAGACAAGCCAACGTCAAACATGGCGCTGACAGTGTCTCCGACAAAAGGCATTCTAGTTTATCGAGGACCGTCGGATCGCGATCGTGCGGCTCGACCAGGCTGTAATCATGCATGGCAAAAGTAATGATCGATGGGAACGCGCACTAGTAAACAAAGCCACCATTACGTCTAAAACAACAAGCGACGCCAGCTGGGAGAAACCAAAGTTGTCCCGGTGTTGTCTCCCCACCCGGACGAAGAAGGCAACCTGGGAACTGCATCCATGATTTCATGGAGCACCACACAAACCTACATGAGGGGATAAAAGAAAGATGAAGTTGATGGGGGCTGCTCTTTGGATATATGTGGCGGCATAACTCTGCGGATGCTCTGCTTCATCCACTGCAGGGGTCAAAAGCACAGCCTCATCCACTGCCAACAAATGCAGTGGGTTGTTTGAGCCCTTTGGGACATACATATTTCCTGCATTTAGCTGACGCCAAACCAAACCCAATGCAGCTTTTCTCTTGCTCCTTTGAAGAAGGTAAGCCACCTGTGGCTATCATGCCAGCTTCCTGCCTGTATCATGTTCTCTGTGTACTCTTATGACTTTGATTAAGCAAACGAAGGTGACTCGTAACTAGAATGTTTTCACGCTTGTTGTCTTTTAGTAGCCCAAGATGTGATGCTTCACCTGATTTCGGACTTACTTTTCTACGTCTGCTGCAAATAATTCACCCAATGCTCTGCTAATAAAATGATGCCCTCGTATTGTTTGGTGCGATAACTATTACATCATTAGACAGAAAGGATACGATGCTGAGTACCTTTCTTTACATCTCTAACCTACGTATATGTATCCCAAAAGAATTCCAATCCTACATATTTGACAGAATGTTTGATGAAATGTATACGAACGCTTCTTTCATGTGGATGACTCACACTGCAACCTTCGCAGGCAGGCTGGAGGAAGAAGAAGATAAACTCCGCGACGGGCGCCAACACGGATGTCAAAGCAAGCCGTGAGCTGCTGCCGACACGCGGTCCACCATACAGCCACACGCAGCTCAAACGTACGGCCAGACACCTGAGGCGGGACACGCGTCAAGAAAGCAGTGGTTGACTGTACTCTCTCTCACAGGGTGCATCGCAGGCTTCGACTGTTCTCCCGTGCGATGTTAGTGTGGGGAGTCACAGGCTTCGCTTCCTTTTTTTCCTTGTTTGTGTTACGCTTTCCCCTTCAAATTCCACCAACTTTGTCCATACTATATCGGCCTTTTGTGATCCAAACAGAGATATACTAGTAATACAGATTTATATGGGAAAACGGGTTGCATGGGAAGCGAGCGCGTCGTCGTTATATAGTCGTGGAAGAAAGAGAGCAGCCCCAACGGACAAGAGAAGGCCATCGAGATATTGAGAGACCATCCGCTCTTCTTCTCCGCCGCCAGGATGCTCCGCCTTGTCTCCCGGTACGTCCTCCGCCTTTGTCCTCTCAAACTCGTGGAGACTGAGTCTTTAAGCTGACGATGGTGTCTATTCTTCTCGATTTGTGATTACACTGGCTAGGAAATTAAGCAGGAGAGTGGCCGTGGCCGGAACGAAGGAGAGTTCATGGCGAAAACTGGTCAAGTTCTCGTCGGCGAGGCAGAGCGGCAGGTGAGTCTGCTATGCGTTGAGCTGGCAAACTCGTTCCTGTCGTCTACAGTTAACTGATATGGCAATGATTGATAAGTTAACTTATAGCATCTAAATTATGAGCTTCTTGATGTCTCGTCGGTAAATCTCCATGGATGAGCATCTGTTTCCCTCTGCGAAATGCATGGTTGCAGGTTGGAGGGGAAGGTGGCTCTGATCACCGGAGGAGCAGGTGGGCTGGGCAAGGCCGCGGCACGTGAGTTCATCGAAGAGGGCGCCACCGTCGTCCTCGCTGACGTCGACGCGTTACTGGGCGAGCAAGCCGCCCAACAGCTCGGCCCGCACGCCCAGTTCGTGGAGTGCGACGTGACCGTCGAGCAACAAGTGGCCGAAGCTGTCGACTTCGCCGTCGCCCGCCACGGCCGCCTGCACATCATGCACAACAGCGCCGGCATCGCGGGCCCGCCGATGGCCCCCGACGTCGCCCGCCTCGACCTGGCTGACTTCGACCACGTCATGGGCGTCAACGTCCGCGGAACCCTGGCCGGAATCAAGCACGCGGCCCGCGTCATGGCCCCAACCGGCTCGGGCTCCATCATCTGTATCTCAAGCGTCAGCGGGCTCATGGGAGGGCTCGGCACGCACCCATACACCATCTCCAAGTTTGCGGTGACCGGGATCGTGAAGTCGGTCGCCGGCGAACTGTGCCGCCGCGGGGTCCGAGTCAACTGCATATCGCCATTCGTGATCCCGACGCGGCTGGTGGTGGATCAGTTGGCTCAGATATACGGCGACGTGGGAAGGCAAAAGATAATGGACATAGTGGATGGTTTGAGCGAGTTGAACGGAGCAAAGTGTGAGGAGATCGACGTCGCCAAGGCAGCCGTTTACCTGGCGTCGGACGATTCCAAGTACATCACAGGTCACAACCTGGTGCTCGACGGGGGATTCACAAGCTACAAGCAGCTAAATCTGCCGATGCCCGACAGGCTCGAGCTATAGTTGTCTTTGTTTCCTGCTCCTTTGGCGCAAAGTACATGTCAGGATATAGTTTGCTGCAACCTGTGTTTTGCTTGTTTTCTGTGCATCCTAACTACAGCGGACAGTTCAACTCTAGAAGATCATGCCGAGGCCGGAAGAGGAAGAGAGCAACCATTTCCTCCATGACTAACATAAGCTTCATCTACCTGGCTTGGATAGGAACTGCGCAACCGGCGGTCTGCCTGCATTGCCATCAGTGGCATCTGGAATTAGTGCTTATTGATGACAGCCATGTGAGATGTTGGTCCTCAAATCACAATGTTTCTACCTTTGCCCACCATGCTTCCATCAATAGAACTGGATCACATTACCAACACATTTATGCAATTAATCCAGTGAATATATGTATATATATATATATATAGAATAGACCAAGTTATTAGAGCCCAAGAGCCCAGAATTGGGTTAAGTAGATGGCTATAAGAATGAATAGGCCCAAGATGAAGTGGCCCAAGACAAATCTGGGCTCTGATAACTTGGTCCAATGATGGGGTTGGGTGGTTTTATGCTTATTTTTCTTAAAATCAAAATTTAAATATATATATATATATATATATATATATATAATATTGTATTTTATTGGATAATTAATTTTAATTGAAAGAGGTATATATGCTAATTGTGTAGAAAACATTTTGAGATGCTCTTCTTCTCTTGTTGGTTTTAGATTTTGAGATTATTAGAGTCGCACAGCTTTAATTCAGCAGGTGATGCATCATAAATCCTTCTTCTCACTCTCCCTCTTGTCTCTCTGTCTTTTGCTGCAGTGGTGCTAATTTTCTTGGTCAAAGAACACACACGATGAACTGTTTGGGTTGCAGTCTGTGGACAACGACAAACCAGGTTTGGCAGTAACCATCAGTGCGAGATGCATGAAAGCTGAGGAAACCCATCCGAGTTGAATAGAAGCAATCACGAGATACTTGGCTTCCCCCTCCCATCCTCTTCTCTCTCCACTTTATTCCCACCTTGCATCTCTCTCTCTCGTATCCCTGTTTGTCTCCTCTACCATAAATAACGCTGTGCCTGGGACCTCTTCCGGCCGTTAAAGCACAGCCCCACCTCTCCGTCTACCTCAGTTGGTGATTGCCCAATTTACCAGGGAA